ATACCTTGTAATTACTATTATAGCTATAGGTATTAATTAAACTCTTATTTAGTAATGTTTACTATAGATCTAGTACTTTAACAATAATATACTTATAGGCGTGATAGTAATAGAGGCGGTTTTAGTAGACTTAGAGGTAGGCTTAGAGGTAGTTATAAGTAAGCTATAAGTCTAGAGAGCTATATAAATGTTAAAATATTCTCTATCTAGAAGTTAATATAGAAATAAGCTTTCTAAGCTATAGAGGTAGGTGCTAATAGTAATAATAGGTAGCTCTAATTAGCAAGAAGGCTAGAAATAGAAACATAGTATAATGTTAAATAGAAGCCTTTCTATTAGATATAGAACTTAGTAAAGAACTATAGTAGAAGTAGTATTAAACTATAATAGTACTACTTTAAGAGTAAACTATAGTTAAAGATTAAGTTAAACTATAGTATTAAGTAAGTTAACTATAGTTAAAGATAGTGTTAAACTATAGTGCTATAAGTGTAGAGATTTCTATAAGAGTCTAGTTTAGAGTTAGAAGAGCGCAGCTATAAGAGTATATAAAACCTCTCTCTTGCGCTAGAGATACTTCTCTTTATTCTATAATTTTAATTTTAATTCTAATACTAATTCTAAGAATAATAATAATACTAATACTAGTAATAATACTAATAATAATACTAGTAATAATACTAATAATAATATAATTAACATAAACTATAAGTTAAGTTTAATACTTAAGCGTATGTACTCTAAGCGTAGGTTATAGCCTACTACTTAGAAAATAGTAAATAACTACTACTATAGTCTAAGTAATATACTAGAGAAAAATATTTTTAATAAAAGAGTTAGGCTAAAGTATACTAGTAGCTAGATTAGCTATATTTATAGTACTTACTTTAATATTAATAATAAGAAGTTTCTAGGTAAGCTATATAGTAATACTATATTAGTAATTATTATTTCATTAGTAGGCGTAGTACCTATAAAGTAGAGGTTAGACCTCTTAGCTACTAAGTAGACCTCTATTATTACGGTGGAGTGTTGATGCAGAGCAGGGCAACAAAACGCAGTTAGGTAACTTATTATAATGTTCTTAATGTAGGTGTATTTTCTAAACACCTTGTACTTGCTGTATACAGCTATAGGAATTAATAAAACTCTGTTTGTGACGTTTACTGTGGATTTAGTGCATTGACAATATAATTATGGGTAGTAATAGTAATAGGGGCTTCTTGTGGACTTAGGGGTGGACTTAGAGGTGTACGCAGTTAAGCTGTAGGGCTGTATTCTCTCTCTAAAGAAATCGACGTAGAAACAAGCTTTTGAAACGATGATTAGATTACGCTAATAAGGAGGGCGAGCGCATTAACAGACTAATGTTAAATAGGAGCCTTTCTATTGACTTTAGAAGTGGGTGGGTTGGAGACAGCTTTAAACTGCGGTACTACTACGTAGGTAAACTACGGGTTTAAGACAATGTTGTACTATAGTGCTATAAGTCTAGAGGTATTTCGCGTAGTTAAAATGTAGTTTAGAGAATAGCTGCCTTACGTAGTATTTGTACACAAGGTCTGCGCACTTAGAGAATACTTCTTTTTATTCTACATCTTTCTTAATACCTCTACACACTTTAAAACATCTATAAATATCTGCTAACATGTCTATTAACTACTAAGGATATGTAGTATAGATTAACTTCTCTTCTATACTTACAATAGAGGCCCCTGTTCTTAAGAACACCTAGGCTGTTAGCGCAATAGAATGTGCAACTGCGGTAGAGCTTGCCGCTTATAGAAGTAGCTTATTTAACTTTCTAGTTCTTGCTAGAGACTCTAAAATAGCAGACCTAAAGGCCTTAGCTATATAGATAGGGCTAGTAAAGGGCTTCTAATATAATAGTATTAGGATTATAGTAGTAATTAACCTAGACTAAAGACGCCTTGTAGGCTTATATATTGTAGCTGTATAGTGTTTAGCTTATATAGACCTCTTTCCTTCTACTGCGCAGATAATTGTAGAAGAATAGTTTAGTTAACTTTTAATACTAGATAAGAAACTAGCTAGTTTAGTAGTTATACTAGTAACCTAAGAGGAGCTTAAGTTTATTAAGGTTGCGCGCGACAACATTTCTATTAGCTAGAAGTAGGCGGCGCTTCGCTAGCTCTAGGAGGCACTAGAATTATAGTGTGGTATTAGGCTATGCTAACAAACGCGCGATAAAGAGTAGAGTAGGTGATTGGGATAACAGAGGATAGCGCAATGTGGCTGATGTGGCTAGGCTTGTAGATAATTGCGTATGGGATATAAGTTGCTAGTAATCTTGTAGGTGTCTTGTAGGTGTCTTAGATTAGGCTTTATGCTAGTGATAGGCTTGCTAGGTTTTCTTTTAGTGTTGCATAATTGCATAGAGCTAGTATTAGTGCTACTGCTAATTAATAACCTAGATAACTATTAGTTATGTGTAATAAATGTAAAGTAGTTAGCGCGTCGCAATTGCGCGCGTAGTAATTATTGTGTTAGTAGTAGTAGTAGTAGTAGTGTAGGTATAAGTATTATAATAAGGCGCAAATCTATGCTTGCGTTAGAGATTTTTAAGTTTGCTATTAGGTAACACAGTACTGCGTTATCGCGTGATTACGTGATTTCAAAACAAGTACACTATAGGCCTCGTCTCTTGGGCCTAGGGGGGCTAAGTAGACCTCTATAAAAGTATAGCTATAGTAACTTTAGTATCTTAAAAAGAAAACTTCTTAATATATAAGTTCTAATAATAGGCTAGAAGAAAGAATATATTAAAATTACCTAAAAAGACTTTTATAAGAAGTAGAAGCTAAAAGTTCTTTACTATATTTATATAATATATAATCTTAAGTATAGTATCTTATTATCTTTATAGCTATAGTAAAGAACTAGAGAACTTATAAGTATAGATAGAGAACAAGTAGATAGATAATAGTTAATATAAATAGTAGCTATAGTAGTTACGTAATATAAGTACTACTAACATAGCTAGGCTTATAGATAGTTACGTATAAAATATAGATTACTAGTAATTATATAGGTATCTTAGGTTGTCTTAAAGGCTTTATACTAGTATAAGTAGACTTACTAGGTGTTCTTTTAGTATTACGTAATTATACAGAGCAAGTATTAGTACTACTACTAATTAATAACCTAGATAACTATTAGTTATATATAATAAATATAAAGTAGTTAGCGCGTTGCAATTACGCGCGTAGTAATTATTATATTAGTAGTAGTAGTAGTAGTGTACGTATAAGTATTATAATAAGACGTAAATCTATACTTACGTTAGAGATTTTTAAGTTTGCTATTAGGTAATATAGTACTACGTTATTACGTAATTCTAAAATAAGTATACTATAGATTCTATCTCTTAGGTCTAGACAGGCTTTATATACTTATTAAAGTACTCTAGCTACTTAATACGAAGCTTGTTTATTATTTAGCTATTCTTAGAAACTCTAATAATCTAAGTTTATAGTAAGTCTTCTTCTTTATACTAGGCTAAGAGGTAGTGCTTACTAGTAAAGATAATAAAGAGTAGAATTATCTACTCTATTACGTTAATACTCTAATTAGCTATAATCTACTTCTAATTACTTTGCTATACTATATTTAGCTATTTTTAACGCTCTACTACTATAACTACTACCTTAGTAAATATTACGCTTATTATAAGGCTTATCTTATTAAAGTTATAGATATCTTTATTCTCGATACTATACTTAGCTTTAGTATTCTATACTAGATAGAACTAGTCTTTTATAACTTTAGAATTTCTATAAAGAGCTTAAATATAATTATACTTTTAATTAAAGTTAACTTTAAGCGCTAGACAGCGCTTAATAAAGGTTAAAGTCTACTTCTTACTAACTAGTTTCTAGTTATAGACTTAAAGTAAATTATTAGCTATCTTCTTAATATTAGTAAGCTAAAGTAGGTATTTTTACTCTAAAAGCTCTAAACTATAATATATAATTTGTACTTCTTCTAATTTTTAAAGAGCTATTAAGTTAAGTATACTATTATATTAATAAAGTGTTCTAGAGCGTTATTATCTAAGCGTAGTTTCTAATATATTATAGTCTCTTATAGTATAATATATAGTAAGTATTATATTTTATCTAAGAGCTTTAATTATAAGCTATATCTAAGTTTTTTTTTAGTCTAATACTATATTACTACGTTAAGGCATAGCGAGAGAGATAGAGTTTTTAGTAGAGTCTTAGCAAAAGCTAACTACTTACTTATACTAACTACTCGCTATGCATCTACGTTACTTACTTATTACCTACGTTATGTGCAGCTTATTAAGCGTAACACAATACGACTCTACACGTCTTAGGCGTAGCTTACGAGGTGATTTAACATTAGTAAGGTTAAAAGCCTTCCTAATTTAATCTAAGCTTTTTAACCGGGAAGGGTTAGATTTAGGGTCCAACTAGCGCCAAATCAAATTGGAAAGGGTCTTCCCGATTATTGATTAACAGTGAGTGTTAGGTTGTTCCCTCGTCGAACGCAGTTTCAAATGCTCTGACTGACTTCATCTGCGGGGCGTTGCAACTGCGCAACGCTGGAGACGTGGCAAAAGCCGCGGTCCCTTGCGTGCATCAGCGTTTGACATGGAGCTGTTGTGGCCAGCGAATCGCTCCGCCGAGGCGCCAAAAAGAAATTGCGGGCTTGTGTTGCGGCTCATTTCCCCGAGTTAGCTTGCCGACGCGCCCATTTTGTACCCGCATCCAGCGTAAGAGCAATTGTTGATGCACTTGACGAGTGTACTACAGACATGCTGAAGCTTCTCGACTTTATCGCAAAGCAGTTAAGTATATCTTCTCGCGTTAAGTGGATCGTCTCTAGCCGCAACTGCCAGGGCATTATAGTCGCTAGAAGATTCTGCCCCACCTACCAGAAGTGGCTAAGTGAACCGTAGCCCACGAGTGAGTTTCAGCATGCGCATGCGGGCGCATGGTCTCATTCTGCAACACATCGACGTCCAGCTGTCAGACTAAGTAACCCGCCTTGTGGCCGCACGATTAGACTTGCGCATGCCCTTTAGCGGAGTTGCTTAGCGACTCGCGGGTTTTTGAGTCATTCCTGCCACTCTAAGGGATCAATAGAAGGGGCAGAACAGCCTACCAGATACCTGGAGTGCAGCATCGACTTCTCCTTGTCCGAGACTTGCGACGGCTTCCAAGCCAAGTGTCCGTACTGTACCGAAGATTTGTAAGCTGAAGACCTCGCTGTTTTTTTACCGACTGGAAAACAACCCGCAATTTGCAGTGGCTTCGCTAATACATGTATATAGACTGATAGGTAACAACATGTCCCTTCGTCGAAAGTCGTGCGACGCATGCTTCAAAAGGCGTCAAAAGTGCGATCACTCGTTTCCTGTCTGCATGACCTGCCAGAGGCTCAACAGGCTCTGCCACTATCTACATCCACCACCCGAATCTGCAAATATTGCAGTGCCATTTTTCCAGGAAGCCGGAAGCGGTAGTGCTGTCTACCAACCTGCCCTTGACCAAGAAGCATTACATGATTTCTTCACTAGCAACGTGTCTGATGACAATGATCAATTTCTTGAACAAGAACTAGGCTCAGGACCTGGCAGTCTCGATCTCAACCTGGTTCACGCCACGCGTTTACAGGTGATCTCGCCAGAGGTGATGAGTATTATGATACCCAGCCTGCTAGGTCCTCTCGGCGACTTAGAACCCTTGATGGGAAATACACAAACCTGGCAATGGGTGGTTGCACACTTGAAAGCTTGCCCGGAGGAATTTGCTCGGAGAGGGAATAATGTCTTCATACACGAGCAGCTCTATATCCGTGCATTACCACGGCCAGTACGAGCAGCCTTCACTGTTTCCGCTGCTGCATGCGGGTCAATGAACGAAGACAATCGGACAATGATTTTCGAGGTCTTGGATGCAGAAGTGCTCGAGATTCTCCAGCTACCAGATGACGAGGTGATCCAAGACTTGGCGAAATTGCAGGCGCTCGTGTTATATCACATCATACGGCTGTTCTATGGCGGGGTAGAGCAACGAGTTATGGCAGAAGCGCAGGAGAGTTTGCTGATGACGCGAGCTCTGCGTCTCCTCCAGCGAGCTCAATCCGATATTCGAGACGGAAAATTCGATTGGCATAGCTGGATTCTAGCAGAGTGTACTCGCCGGACGGTCCTCATCGCGTTTCTACTTTGTGGTGTTTACTCGATCTTGACTCGCGGCATTTGTCTGACATTTCCCACCTTGCAAATGTTACCCGTGTCTTCCGAACCGACCGCTTGGCTCTCGCAGGATGGGTATCTTCAACTCGCCAATCCGAACAAGACGGTGGCGTACAGTGAATTCACCAATGGTTGGCTTTGTGCGCCAAGAGAGGTGGAGTCATTTGAGGAATTGATGTTGGTCGCATGCAAAGGCGTGGAGATGGTTGAAGCATGGAGGAGTTTGGGCTACAACTAAGCATTTTCCTTATATCCTTTAAGGTCCTTGAGACAACAGGGTCGGCTTGAACGTGACTCAGATAGCTATTGTATTGGTGGCTGCTGATGTTACATGTAAGCTTCCACAGGTAGCCGCTATCAATCGAGGCTACGCGCGGATTCTTCATCTGTACAGTGAATCACCCGCTTGGAATTAGCATCCTGTTTAGGTCAAAGGAGTGTATTACTGTGGTTGAGGATGGATTTGGCAACGAAATGGTTTGTGGAACGGAGGGCAATAATTTACAAAGTTTTGACTGGTTATATAGCCCTTTTTGGCAAGAAGGTCTGCTATCTGTACATAAGGTCTAGGACAGCTTTCCTCATCGTTCTGTCTCAGTCTATCAATGACAGTGCTTTGAATGCCTCTGCGCTTCCGACCAATCCCTCCACCCCAAGATCTTTCACTGTTAAGATAACCTCTTCTCCACTGAAGCTCTTCCCCGCCATAAGCTCAAAGTACGAATGAGTGTCATCCATCAGGTCTGCCCAAAAGGGCCAGAGCTTGGTATAAACCTCTCTGGTAACTCGCACATGCTGCACCACGCCTAAGCCCTTGGCAGCTCCAAATGCAGACACGATCTCCGCAAAGGACATGTCTTCAACCGCAGCGAGGACATACTTGCCAGCGAGTGTCATGTCCGGCTGCTCCAAGATCGATTCAACGAAGAGTCCGACGTTGGTCCTCTCATCGCCCACCATCTGGACTCTCACTGACGGTGGTGATGCCAGCAGCTGGATGTATTGCTTCTCTGGGCTACTTTGGTGTACTGGAGAGGGCTGATACCAGGGATATTCCATGTTTTTGGCATACCAGCCAAACCACACAAAGGTCGTTTTCTGAAGCAGTGTCGGGATCGACTTGATGTGTTCATCGACCCTGGCTTTACTGTGCCAGTACGGGACTACGGCCCTGCCACCACTGATTCGCTTCGAATTGGGCAGAGTGGACCACACAAAGTGCTCGAGGGACCGGATGGCACTCGCAGCGTTGGCGAGATTGATACCCTGTTGCGTTTCAATCTCCATGCACTTCTCGATACCAAGCTTTGGCAGGGCGTCGAAGAAATTGGTCATAGCAAAGATGGCCTGGCTGCCCGCGAACGCTGTCTGCAGCGACTCCACGTTGTTGAGGTCTGCTTCGACTACCTCGATGCCCCTGTCGGTGAGAGCGTGGGCGGTTTTGCCGTTTCGGTCCCTCGTGATGGCCCGTATAGAATATGCTGGGTTCTTTGCCAGCGTGTCCACGACAGAGCCGCCCTGAATGCCCGTGGCGCCGACGATGGTGATGAGTTTAGTCATGGTTACAAAGGTTGGGAAAATCTAGGATTGACAGGATGCGGTAATTGATCTGATGGTATGTAATCGTTTGCTGAACGATATGAGAGACAGGAAACGCCCTTTATATATTCTCAGGTACGCGGTAGTAAATGGGAAGCGGTATAACTCCAGACGCTGATTAGCTCTGACCGACGGACCACCAACATCGGTGCGGTAGCGACAGAGCCGCATGTCTGCCACAATGGTAAACGTTAACTTACATGACAAGTCCGCTCCCGCGAGCGCGCGAGCGGGCATAAGTGGATACATTGAGCTTTGGAATCATGTTACATAGTAGGTGTTATATAAGCAAAAGCTGCTCACGCGACGTAAGTGGGGATGCTGATAGCGCCCAGGCGGTCTATTGTGGAGACTTGTGTACAGTCGCTTGCAAACCCTCCGCAGAAGTTCCGGAGCCTCACCAATAGGACGGCGCTAAGATCATCAGGGGTTGAGATCTTTCCAGCTTGAGACTAACGTGTTTAACCAGCGAGTCGCCCGCCCCAGCCACCCCCTACCAAGACGCGCGCGACGCGTCTCATCCCATCAAAGATGGCTGTACAACACAACGTTCAATCACTCCAAATGCAAGGCAAAATAGACCTTGCACTTAACTCTCTTCAATCTAATCTATCTCAATCCTGCTGCAGACTTGCAAAGCTTTACAACATCGCCTTAAAGTAGTCGATGCAACCACCGGGCCTGTTCGACAAACAAGTCATTGGGCAAGTACCATGGTCCCGCCCAGAAATCAACGTCATGCTGGGATTATCACACGTGCGGTAGATCAGGCTGGCAACCGTCAAGATTTCCGTCTTACTTTTGTTCATGTAACTTACTTACATAACATGACAATGCGATGTTACGATCACAACCAGAGGGAGGCCTGGCGACGAGGAAGGCGGGTGTTGATACGGCAAAGGTAGGGATTGAATCAAGTAATTGTCGTTGCAACGGTAGGTGGTTCGTGATTGATTGATTCTCAGGGCAAGGCTGAAGCTCGCACACGGATTGTGCGAGCTTGCGCACAGGCCATATGATCATGTGATCGGCCATCTGCTCTGCAAAGAGCGGGGCAGGCTAGTGGCCTTGTGCCACGTAGCCACGTGTATCGCCATCCCGTCAAAGACCAACCGTCTTGCCAAGGACCGGATGGCAGCACATCCCCGGATGACGCACCATCATAGGTAACGTGGATTGGTAGACATCTGAGGATGGCGCCGGGCATTGGGATACCCTACATTTATATAGACCCAGACGATGGGCTTTTACGGCACATCGTGTTCAACTTCGTAGTATCAATCTATATTCTGGATACCTTGTACTTAACTACAATGCCTTCTGTCTACATTAGTACACCTTCTTGTACTTAGACTCTGACTACTACTTAGTATCTGTACTCGAACCCCCTCGTCCATATTATCCTCTTCCGCTCACTCCCCGAGAACTAACCATATGTTACAGGTAACACAAAGGATTCTCTCCTTAACATGGGGTGAAGGGGTTGAAGGCCAACCACGACCAAGTCAGAACGCAACGATGATCGCGGGGCTCGGGGTCACGTGATCAGGATTGGCATCCCGCCAAGACCAGGCCTCCGGGAGGCCAGTGGGGCTAGGGAAGCCACGGTCCTCCCAAACCTCCCTCTGGGATGGGAGGCCAGGGAGGACAGGACCTAAGGCAATGGGTATAAGAATGTGTTGGATTTCATTATTACACTCATTGTGGTCAACTCAAATAGTTCATCTCTTACACAGATTGTCAACTAGTTATTCTATCGTTTATAGAATTGGATTGTCTTTACCTGCAGTTATTCCACGATAACTCTTTTCCACAGAATCGCCAGACAAACCTCACGGACTACCGCTTTAGTCTACCTCGCCTTAGTACGGACCGAGCCTAGAGAAGTATAGCCTAACCCCGTGTAACACTTTGACCACCATCGGATTCAGTGGACGTGAATAACAACCAGGTTGCCCGATTAAGGAAGATGTCAGCCCCAAGAGTCACTCAGAACAACGCGGCCCAGGGTCCGGGACCCTCGGCACCAGCACCAGCAAACGATGAGATGCTGGATGCATCCGACTCGGAGACAGAAGATACTCCCAGTGCCACGGAGCTCAGACACCTTAGGCAACAGGCCCAAGTTCAGTCTCGGCAGATGCTCGAGATGCAGAACATGATCAATCAGCTTGCAAGTCAGCTGATGGCCACCCCCAACGAACGATCATCTACTACGAAGAAACCCAAGATGGCGTCACCCGAGAAGTACGACGGAAGTCGAGAAGAACTGCGAACGTTCCTCACCAACATCGACTTGTACTGCGAGTTCAACGAAGTACCCAACGACCAGGAAAAGATCCTCATGGCAAGCACGTATCTGAAAGGAAAGGCTTCCAATTGGATGCAGCCATACGTGGACGACTACCTTACGGATATCACGCAACATGGAACTAAGGAAGAAACCCGAACCATGTTCGCGAGTTGGACGGAATTCAAACAAGAAATGGGACGCATCTTCGGAGAAGTAGACGCGAAGAATCAGGCTGAGAAACGGATTACTCAACTGAGGCAAACCAAGTCTGTATCAGCCTACACGGCGGAGTTCAAGCAACTACAGGCCAGGATCGATTGGGATGATGCGGCACTTCGAACGGTCTTCGAAGCAGGCCTCAAGGAAAATGTCAAGGATGGCCTTGTACACCACGACAAGCCCGGAACACTACACGCGTTGATCGAGCTTGCTACACGCATCGACAACAGGCTATGGGAGCGAAACGATCAGAAAAAGTACTTCCGCCCTAACATGGCCAACATAAAGAGACAGCGTGGAAGGTATGACAGGGATGGCGATGCCATCATGACCGGCAAAGTACAAGAGAAGGCCAAAGACAAGAAATCCCGAGGAAAGAGACACGACGGTCTCTCTAAGGAAGAACGCCAGAGGCGTTATGACAAGAAAGCATGTCTCCGATGCGGTGAAGTTGGACACTTCGCCCGAGACTGCTGCACGGGTGAAGCAAGTAAGCAAGCAGCTGTCAAGATCGGGATGGTCAGACAGGGCACGCCCTACCCGGCTCAGATAGAACCGGATGACAACCTTAGCGACATGGACCTCTACGAGGAAGCCCGCATGGAGGAAGACTACGAGGTCATCCAGCAACCAAAGCGAGCCGACGACATCCTCACGATGGAGAAACCTAAGGAAACCGACTGGAAAGTCGAGGACAGAGTCGTACTAGAACGACTAGCAAAGAACCAGTGTTGGGTATGCGGAGACGCCGCACATCACGCCAACGACTGTGCGAAGCGGGACCGAATTGTAATAACCGGCCCGGACGCCGAAGAAGTTGGGTATCAGGCGATACACCAACAACCGTACTTCGAGGACCTAGGAACAGAGGTTCTCAACCTCGAAAGACCCGAAGAAAGGGACACCAGAGAACACCGAGGATTGTGCTGGTACGACTGCAAAGTAGAGTGCGAGTTCCACCAAAAGGATAAAGAGGATTGCAGAAAGGACCAGGAAAGGTGCTGTCACCTAAACCTGTGGGCAGACGAGTGTCTAGCGGACAACTGCCACCTCCATGAGCCTGAGAAAATAGGAATCCATGAGAGACTCCTATGGCCACAGTGCAAGAACGGATGTTCCTTCCACCGCGACCAACTCGAGAAAGCACGACAAGTGGACGACTACTACCATGTCACCCTGTCATCAAACATCTGCGAAGTAACAAACTGCCCCATCCACGAAGCCAAGAAGGCGGAGCCAAGGAAGAAAATCACCAAGGAAAAGATACCTCATCAGAACCTTCATTAGAGCTTTTGTTACGACGACAGATGCATAATCCATTACAGTTCCAAAACCGACACAGGCTACTTTCCCAGGAAAAGGAAAGGTAAGCAGGCAAAAAAC